ATGACCCAAAACATACAGCAAAAGCAACACAGGAGTTTTTGAATGTAAGAAAGTGGAATATTCTGCAATGGCCAAGTCAATCTCCTGATTTTAACCCGATTGAGCACTTGCTGAAGACAAAACTAAAGGCAGAAAGACCCACAAACAAACAACAACTGGAGTCAGCTGCAGTAAAGAAAGGCTTGGGCTTCACAAAGAAGAAACCCAGTCTCTGGTGAAGTCCATGAGTTCCAGACTTAAGGCAGTCATTGCCTGCAAAGGATTCTCAGCAATGAACATTTTATTTATGATTATATTTATTTGTCCAATTACACACACACACACACACACACATATATATATATATATATATATATATAAACCTTGCTACGTGTACTGCGTCAGGCTAACCGAGACTTGTTATAGCACTTACATATTATTGCTCTTTTGTTGGTTTTGATTGCTTCTATTGTCCTCATTTGAAAGTCGCTTTGGATAAAAGCGTCTGCTAAATGATTAAATGTTAAATGTAAATGACTAACTGTATATATATATACACACACACACACACACACACACACACAGATTTCAATGACAATTTGAGCAATTATTATTATTGCTATTAACACATGAACTAACTTTAATTTGCTCAGCAAAGACACTTTATGCAGTTTATGCCAGATTAAAAACTTGACAATATTTATTTTTAGTATTGCCAGCAGAATTAAAAATATAATATTTAATATATCTACTGATTTAAGTGCTTAAAATCACAATAATAGAAATTATTTGACAGTATTCTTACAATACCTGCCGTGAAACATAATAAACCTGTCACTGAAGCTTCAAAAGTCTGTGTGAGAAGCACTGATCACATCCAGCAGCTTCAGACGGCACTATTGATTTTCATTGTTCAGTCAGAGAGATGCCCATTATGTCGGAAAGCCCAAGAAGAAAATCAATGTCAAAGTGAGTTGTGCGCTTGAGTGATGCTTTCAGTTTGACAGGGAAGTGAGGAGGCTTATCCATGCAGCATTACTGTAAAACAAAAGAACTGACCCAGAGAGAGTAAAGATATCTGTAAACTGCAATTCACTATAGTTTTAGTTCTATTTTAGAAATAGAGGTCAGAAATCACTCAAGACCTGATTTAGTTTTAGCAGCTATATAAACTACACTTAAAAAGGCAGCAATACTTTTTTTTTGCATTGTGACATTATTTTCATGACAATTCAATTTCATCTTCAACTTTTTTTTTTTCAAATAAATGATCATACATTAATATCTATACATATTTATTCGTAGTTAAATAATTCATACAAAATACATAAATAAATGTCCAAAAATATATTACAAAAATAAGACTAGGCTACAATTAAATATAGGCTAATACAATAAAATGTAGGCTTCATTTTCTTTATGCAAAATATGTTTAATTTTAGGATAATATGTGACTTGGACTTGGTTAGTAAGATTCAAGCTATTATGCTGCAATAGCCAAAACTGACAATGAAATGTAATAAATTGAATGCTGGATTGCATGGTCAGCTTAGAGAAGCATTGATAATGACCAGAAATGGACACTAGGGGGCAATGTTGATCTAGCGTTTAAAATCAATACCAGACCTGGGAAATAGTGATGGCATCAAGCAAATGCTCTTTCAGTGTCAGTTAGATTAGAAGTATCTCATTTTGATTTCTGGCCATCTCAAAAAAGTCTGAATTTAAGATGGGTTTTAAGGTTAGTACAGATGGCTACAGACGTCCTCTAAACCAAAACACAATGAAAACCTTAAGAAGTAGGTCAAAGTTGATGGTCGCCTCCGGCACTTCATTGCATTTCACTTACTCTATATGCAGCACAGATCTTCTCACTTCTAAGTTATGCTTTAATCTCCTTTATGGCTTCATGACATTGTTGAATTCTTGATTCTATTTAGCTGACAGACGTTCCAAGGCGTTTATCAAACATTTTCCGTAATTCAGTGCTCCGTGGTCAATTATTCCTTACATGGTCAGAATGAATTGATCTGCAGTCATAATGACCTCCGATGGCTTCAGAAGAGCTGACAGAAATGAGCTCAGTGATGCATTGCTCTGGTCTGAAGGTTGCAAATCAGTAAGACATGAATGAAAAACATCAAACCATTAAGGGAGTACAGTTATAACAAAAATAAATAAATAATAAAAAGGAATACACAAATACAAATCCCTTAAGAAAATAAACCATGGTTTTATTATAGTAAAAATTTAGCCAATAGTAGTACTACCTAGTAGTTCTTTTTTAATAATATAAAAAACAACCTTTTGAGTTTGAATAATATCTAATATAGCTACCGTCATTGTTTTTGGTGTGAACCAGGGTTAACTAAAACTAAAACTAAAACCATAAAAAATGTGGTACTTCAAGTAAAACAGACACTAACTGAAATACAATAAAATATTTTTTTAAATTTATTTTAGCTATAGTTTCCAAGGCAACATTTCTCATTTTTAATTTAGTTTAACTAACACTGGTGTGAACAGGCTTTACTCAAAACACAAAGGTGATGTGACTTGGATTGGGAATTCTATAGGGTTTGAAGTACGCTAATGCATCAAAATACATAGCTCACACAAAAAATAGGCGATTGTTACCCATTTTCCATTGATTCATTTTGGTTCCAGATTAAGAATGAGCAGGGCCGTGCAGAGACCTTTGGAGGGGCAGGTGCTCAAAGTATAAAAGGGGCACATGGAGCACGGCTTTTAATAGGGCTGTGCTTCTTGCTGAGAAATGTATCGAAACGGATGCTTCTGTATTGATAGCAGCAAATGCCGTGACGCAGTTTTGAAAAAGAAACACAGAACAGAAAAGACCATTTTAAGTTTAAAAGTTAAATAAATATTTCTTTGCACCTCTTAATCACTCTGAAAATAGAAACGGAATTAAATTAGGCCTATTATTATTATTATTGAGTTTACAGGGTATGGTGGTTTTGCTGTTGTAAACACTACTGTTGTTGTTGTTGTAGAAAAAATGTTGCTGTCTTATTTAAAATAGAATTATATTACATTCCTGTTCTGAATTTATTCATTTTTTTTTTTATTATAATGATGATTAAAAACAGGATTGATAAGTAGCCTATAAATCGGAGGATGAGAAAATCAGAATAAGCCTGTTTTATCAGGGTTGTGATAGCACCCCTCTCTGCACGTGCCTGAGAATGAGTATATTTATCTTTGAAAGCAGCATAGTGGTGTTTTGTAACAGAGCTTTGCAAATATTAGCAGGTTCCTCAGAACTGTGTGTTTTAGGCACACTGGGTTCCTCTACAGACTCTGAGGTAACAGACTGATCCTAAAACACACACTATGACAGAAGTCGCCATCAAGCAGCACATTCACTGGAAATGCCAGGTTAGTGAGAACTTCTCACCGGGTCAGCGGCTTCCATCGCTGAGGGTTCATGGGAAATGTTCTTAATGTGTTAATAAGAGCCTTTCTAAAAATACCCTCTCGGCTGACAGATCCAGTGATTCATGTAAAACTACACTGTGGAGTGAACCGGCGGGTCGCAGCTCTGTTCTGATGGGGCATGAAAACACACAGAATGCACACTATACATGCAATTAAACCGCATAAACGTGTCTCCAATGCCTCAGAGATTGATTTATATTACAACAGATTTAAACCGTTTTCTTTCTTTTTTTTTTGTTAAATTAAGGATACATACAAGTCACATACAGGTCACATACAGGTCACATAAAATAAAAAAAATAATAAAAAAAAAATAATAATAATAAATAAAATAAAATAATAATAATAATAAAAAAAATTAAAATTAAAAAAAATAAAGTAAAAAATAAAAATAAAAAATAGGATAAAAAAATAAAATAAAATAAAAAATAAAAATAAATAAAAATAAATGTGAAACTATGTTTTTGTGTGTTATTTTAAATCATATTTTATTATTAGTATTATTATTACCTTAAAAAATTATAAAATAAATATTCATATTTAGGATACATAAAATGGTACCTATAAAATTGTCAATTGTCATTGGCCTTTTCATAAATGTTTAAAAATGTCATTTCCATGAATAGAGACTTAATAGAGATAAGGAATTTGGACATGACAAAATAAAAAATAAAATAAAACCAAAAAATCTCTTTTGATGTCTATTACCTGTTAAATATTCTTCATCTATTTCAGCATATATTCTTTGAACGACCCATATCTAGAATGGCTATAGTGAGCACTAGTTTCTGTGCCGCTGCTGTTCTTCGCCATGGTAACGCGTGACCTTTGGCAGGAGGGTCTGACTGTGTCAGTCGGTCTCCAGGCTCAGCGAAGCTCTGTGTTTGGGAATGTTCCCGTTCTGACGGATGAAAGAGCGCTCCTATTGGGAAAGCTCAAAGCTGATGGATCTGCCTTTCAGCACCTCCTATAATCACCTCAATAACCTCCTGCAGACTGCCGAATGACTTCAGAGCTATTCATTTCTGGAAACAAATGATATAAGATTCCTGCTCAGTCCTGTGGACACACCTGGAATCTTCTGTATTTATTTGGTATTTTTAAAGTCATAGTTTGAAAACCATATGGATATAATCATGCCAAAATTGCATTGGATGAAGTGAATTTCTAATTACAATTTTTATATTTTAATTATGAATTACATTAAATGAATAACTGAACAACACATTTTACATTAAAATAAAACAAAAAATTTTAATTTAAAAATAATTATTTTTATTAGATTTTTAAGCAGTATTTTTTAATAAAATTAAATGACATTAAAATTAAAGAATTAAAAATGAAATAAAAATATTACATTTTAATATTAGTTTTAAATTTTAGTTTTACAATTTTTTATGTAAATGTTTAATTCTAAGTTATTCATTGTACATTTTAAATTAATAGTTTAATAATAAATTAAAATTTTACTTCATCCAGTAGACTTGCATTAAGATTACATCCTTATGAGCATTTATTTAAAATATAAATTCTTGTAAGAATATACACTACTGTTCAAAAGTATTCTTCTACTGTTCTTTTAAAAAAAAAAGAAATGAATACTTTTATTCAGCAAGGATGTGCTAAACTGATACAAAGTGATAGTAAAGACTTCTATTGTTACAAATGATTTCTATTTTAAATAAATGCTGTTCTTTTTAACTTTTTATTCATTAAAAAATCCTGACAAAAGTATCACAGGTTCCAAAAAAAATATTAAGCAGCATAACTGTTTCAATCATTGATTATGAATCAGCATATTAGAATGATTTCTGAAGGATCATGTGACACTGAAGACTGGAGTAATGATGCTGGAAATTCAGCTTTGATCACAGGAATAAATTATATTTTAAAGTACATTCACATAGAAAACAGTTATTTTAAATTGTAAAAATATTTCTCAATATTACTGTTTTTTTCTGTATTTTTGATCAAATAAATGGAGCCTTGATTTTTAAAAGAGACTTCTTTCAAAAACATTTAAAAAAATTACCAACCTTTTTTTAACCATAGTGTATATTTACCTCAAACTCTAGATATTCCTCCCTCAATCGGTACTCCTCAAGTTCACGACCTTTCACCTTCCTGTCAGGTGGATAAGAGCGCAGTTGTACGAGCTCAGTGGAGATGGAGCGAAATCGAGCTTCATGAGCCTGTACCTGCTCCTCCTACACACATACACACACTTTATAACACTGTAGTTTATATAAACACAGATACAGTACATGCACAGTCACTCTTATAAAACAGTGAGCCTCCTTGCTGTTCACTGACTGCATAGGCAGCTGTCTTTTAAGGAAGCATCATAACTGAAATCAATAAGTGATGCATGTCATGCAAATAGGTAAAATAATTATTAATAGTTATTATTGTTAAATAATTAGTAACACTTTACAAAAAGGTTTCTTTTTTAACTACATTAGTTGACATGAACTAAAGATAAACAATACTTCTACAGCATCATTTATTAATCTTAATGTTTACTAATGTAGTTAACTAATGAAATCTTACAGCAAAGTGTTACCAATTTATTCATATGTATTTATTATTATATTCATCATATTATTTATTATTATACCACTTAATTATTTTTCAAGTACAAAGCCTTATAATGATAACATTTATACAGGTATGTGACAACATTTATGCAAATCAGCTCATTTGACCTGTGACAGCTTGGAGGCGGAGCCTGGCAGCAGCGGCCGACTGAATTTCTTCTGTGAGCCAATGGCAGCAGGGAGGGGCGGGGCTGAAAACATGGCTGCCACTGTGTTGATGCGTGTGATCCAAGACTGCATTTGTTCAGCATTCCTACACGAATAAATCAAATCCATGTTAATAATGATAGAAAACATCTAAAAGAAGAGCCAGACTGCAACAGACGGGTTCTAGAAGTAAAAATCTCATTAAAGGTTTTTAGCCATAAAACCTTTGAAGTCAGATGTAGAACGAGCTCTGTGGTGGTTCAATGATGAAATGGAAGCAGTGTGATAGACATTTTTACAAAAATGCTTCATTAGATCACTACATATAATCCTAAAACCGTTCCACCAATCTGAGGAGTCATGGAATCACAGTAAAACAGCGGATGAAATGTTTTTTTTTTTTTTTTCGAAATGCAAAACACACATATACCCACAAAAAAGTGGATTTTCCAGCACAAGCAATGAGAGCTGAAACTGGGGCAAACTTCAACTAGAGCAGAGCGAGTTCTCCTGGGGAACAGGGATGTGTGTGAACACACACACACACACACACACAATAGAAAGAAACACGGCCGA